AAAAAAAAATTTAGAGGTGGTAAGTTTTTAAAATTTAAACATAATCTTCTATATACATAGAGACAAGTGGGGTAATTGTAAATGTATTTTTCTCCAGGAATATTTAGCAGCTTTTATTTTATTTTAAAAGTTCTGGTTCTTATATGTGTTACTATCATATTAAATATAACATCAAAATATAATTATGTGTATTTATCATTTAAAATACATTTACAACTAACCCCAATTTACCATAAATTTGGATTTAAAAAAAACTTAAATTGTAGATTACAATGATTTACATTTTTATCAATTTCAGCTTGCAATTACTGTGGCCAAGGAGGCCACATTGAAAAAAATTGTCACATAAAAGGTAATAACTTTGTATAATTCTCATTAGTATAATCTATTATTTAGTTACCAAATATTGGGTTATACTTTCAATGAGTGTTTATACATACAAAATGTTTAATTTTGTCATACTTAATTGAGACTAACACAATTATTGCTAATTTCAATTATTTTTTAGCTGCTGGTCTGCCGCCTCCTATTCCCAAAATGTGTACATACTGTGGTCTCCCCGGGCACGGGGAAATGGTATGTCACGTTAAAGGTAATATTTGTGATCTTTATTTTTTTTTAATTTAATAACATTCTAAAAGTATTTTTTTCTTATCCAAAAACTGAATTTTTAAATTTTTGTGTTTTGTTTAAATAATTGACTCAAGCCTATATAGGTTAATGCTGATTTATTTTAATGTTGCGTGTTTAATAAATGGTATTGTCAATTGTTACTAGATCAATCATGAAAACTACACTATATAAACAATTTTCATAATTATGATCTGTTTTTACCTTGATAATAAATCCTTGTTTTTTAATTATAGCAGCTGGATATCCTCCTGTAAAAAAAAAAATTTGTGAACATTGCCATTTCCCCGGGCACGGGGAACAAGAGTGCCACATTAAAGGTACTTGTTTATTTTAATATTTTTTTCATTTAATTTTTTTAAGGCCAGTTGACAACCTTTGTAGGATGCATTTTATGTATCTGGTTTATTTAAAAATAGTTCTATGGTAGTTGTAAATGATAATTTATTTTATAATTTAAACCTACCTACAAGTCAACCTATGAAATTATATATTTTTAATATATTGATATACTAATTTCTACCAATTGTTTTTCATTTATGAATGTGAAAGCTATTAAATATTATTGTAAAAACGCTTCCCAAGTCTGGTCAGAATGTAGACTTTTTTTTTATTTTTAAAAACTTTATTATAGGTAAAATTATTTTACTAAAATACTAATGAAAAATTAAAAAAAAATGTTTATGTTCATTTTTATTGTCTACTTAAAAAGGATATAAAAAAAAACAATTGATTAAAAGAAAAATTCTAACTAACAACAATTTTGATTGTAAAATTTTAAGTTCTATAACATTTTTTATTAATAAAAACTGCTAAATGAGTTTTAAATATGGGGAAAAAATATATTAAAACGTAGACATTTTTTTATAGGTTCAATTTAATAAACACTTAAACTCTTAATAAATCTAGTTTAAAATTTTATGTTGGCTTATGTCATTTTACACACATAATAATACAAATTACAGTGGTGCAAATTTTAGAGGATGCTACAATTATGGTTTTATGAAATAGAAGATTCTAATAACTTTTTTTTTCTCTTTAAATTTTATGAAACAATGATAAAAATACAATAATCATACAATTATAAAGCAAATTAATAGTATGGATTATCAAAAGATTTCTCAATTCCCTAAACGTTGTACCACTGTAAAACAATACATATAAGATAACTAATTTAAACAATAATATATTATTTTTTTTTAGCAGCAGGATTGCCGCCGCCGCCATCAAATATAAATGAATAAAAATAAAAAATTATTTAAAAAAAAAAATGTTGCCTATTTATTTTAAAATATAAACATTTTTTTTGTTAATTTGCTTTTTTATGTCTTTCCTCATTGTATTTAATACAAACTTCATAACCAGGTAACAAAAATTACACATTTTTCTGACAATCATCTCAATTAGACCAATACATTAATTCGTCGATCTAATAGAATATTGCAATTAATTAAAAAAAACTGCCTAATACGTTTGATAACGTATTGACGCACGTAGTATCGGCCTCATCAACTTGCATTTATGACAATAATCGTAGACGAGTCCCGGTAATTTCATAACATGTCCCGAAAGCTGACATTTTACATTAATTAGTTACCTAATTTTAACATAATAGAACTATTATATTAAGTTATTGAAATTTTTGAAATTTATTATATTTTATCGTTCAATACATATTAATTCATCAGCATAATATAAAAAGTCGTTAACAGTTGTTAATTTTTTATATTTTTTCTACTACGATTTCATTTAGAAACGTGTGTATGATACAATTTTTTTTTAAGACTTAGAACATAGCATTTTTAACTTTCATACCGTCTTTATTAAAAAGTGGGAATTTAACAATATATAGATGATTATAACGAAATTACAGAAAAACTAAATGAGTCCCCGCCAAGTCAACGATTTTATGTGTAATAAAATTATTTTAATAAACATAAACTAAGTACACAGTTCTATATATTTTATAAAGCATAAGTAAGAGGAATTCGAAAACGCTAATAGCCTTTTAGATGAATTTTAAAAAATGTGACCCCTTCAAAAATTTTGTCCAAATTACGCTCTAGAATAATATCACTATTAAAAGCATTATTTGTTAACGAAAAAATGCTTTTAATTATGGGTTATGGGTGGCGTGGTCTTATCAATGAATGGGTAAGGGAAGGTGTGGTCTTATCAATGGTGGTGGGAAGGGGTGGAGTGGTCTCACGATGGTGTGGGTAATGACCGTAGTCAAGGTCAATCAATATACGTGGTTTCTCGATGGTGAGGGTAATGGAAGATTGGATTTATGAGGGTGGGGGTAAGGAGTAGCCCGTTGCGCTGCGCTACAGTGTCGGCGTGATCGGGCTCTACGGGGCTACGAAACGTCGGCACGGGCGCAGTTTCCCTAGCTCGGGGAATCGGGCGCGTCCTCAGGTTGCGGATAGAGGAACGGCCTGCAGATATGCAGGTTAGCCGCGAAATAAGCAGTCCATTAACTTGGACTGACGAATAAGCGGTCGCGGACAGCGAGCCGCCCAAACGCTTGTTAGCCCTGTAGATATACAGGGTAGCCGTGAAATAAGCCTTTATGGACGAATAAGCGGTAGCGTTTGGGTGAGAATGGAGCACCATGGACCACGCAACCAGTGAATTGGCCACTCACTGGCCGAAGGGACCGGCTACGAGGGCAGCCCCCTCAAAAATTATTTTTTTTTGAATAATGGACAAAAATGGATTGAAGGTTACTGCATCAGGGGATTCGGATGCCCCAGTGCCGGCGGTTGGTGGGGGGTGTACCCACCAGGTGTCGCTCAGATCAACTGAATACACGGTAAANGCAACCATTGAGTGATCGTATTCTTTAATAAATAAGTTTTCTAGACAAAATGGTGAAACGAAAAAGTTGGGTATGGGATTACGCCAAACGTGAAGGTGATCGCGCCTTTTGCGATTTATGTGACAATGAAAGTAATAATGAATATTCTTGTGTAGGCGGCACAACAGGGTCTTTAATAAGACATTTACAAAATTGTCATGGTATTAAACCACCAGATGAGTCTATAAGAAAGAGGTAGTTAATAAATTATGTTTTCGAAACTTTTTTCGAGTTTGTATTAGGAACATAAAGATATTTTTTGAAAATTTTAAATATGTTGATTAAATTAAATTTTGTTACTCAAAATTCATACATTTTTTTGTTTTCATACCTAAGAATTTAAAATTTAATATAGATTGTCCATAAGTTTTTCTCACAATTATTATGAAAAAATCGAGCGTAAGTCAATAAAAAAAAAATTACGAGCGTCTAAATTTTAAACGTTTTTATTAATAAACATGTTTTTTAATATTATAGAATTCTCGTGTTTAACACTTTTAATAAAAAATTTTAAACTTTAAAAGAAAAATTATTATTTTATTGTTTGACTAGGATGCAAGTAATTTATTAATAAATATATAATATTCAATAAATACAAATTGTAGGTCTCCATTGGGGTGTGGTAGTTCTGAACATGAAAATAATACAACTTCCATCAATCAAAATGATGACACAAATCTAGTTAATAATGCTACTACATCGTCCTCAAGATTAGAAAATAATGAGGAATCAAAATCTAGAAAACGTCGTCGTATTTCTAAAAAATGTGGGTCTAATAGTGATCGTGAATGTAATTATGAAAAAACAGAGCAAATTCACCAAGCACTGGCTATATTAATTGCAATGAATCAGTTACCTTTATCATTTTGCTCGAGCACTGGATTTTGTCAGTTCATGGCTGTTGTGGAGCCTAATTATAAAATATGTAGGGATCAAGCAATGAAAAAAAGATTACATGCATTGAAATCGAACGTTGAGGACAAAATAAAAAATGAACTGCAAAATGTGAAAAGTGTAGTTTGCACCACTGACGGTTGGTCTTCAATAGCTCAAAACTCATATATATCGTTAACTGCTCACA